TATTATGTAGTATCTACTATAGTATATAGTATATATATATATATATATATTTATGTATATAGTATATATAGTTTATAGTTTATAGTACATAGTATATAGTTTATGATACATAGCATATAGTATACAACATATAGTATATATAGTATATAGTTTATAGTATATAGTTTATAGTTTGTAGTATATAGTTTATAGTTTGTAGTACATAGTATATATAGTTTGTAGTATATAGTTTAGAGTATATAATTTATAATATATAGTATATAGCATATAGTATATAGTATATAGTTTATAATATAGTTTGTAATATACAGTTTATAGTTTGTACTATATAGTTTATAGTTTATAGTATATAGTATATATAGTATATTGTTTAGAGTATATAGTTTATAATATATAGTAAATAGCATATAGTATATAGTATTTTGAATTGTAGTATGTAGTATGAAGTAGATAGTATGAATTATATAGCATATAGTTTATTTTATAAAGTATATAGTATATAGTATATAGTTTATATCATAAAGTATATAGTATATAGTTCATAAAGTATATAGTATATATAGTTTATAGTATATAGCATATATTGTAGATAGTTTATACTATATAGTATATAGTTTATAGTACATAGTAAAAAATATAGTTTATAGTATATTGTATATAAATATAGTTTATACTATATAGTTTATACTATATAGTTTATAGTATATAGTATATAGTTTATAATATATAATTTATAAATCTGGATATTCAAGGATAAGAATATAATTTGCATAGAAATTAACGCGATTGCCTAGCGGCAGGATGGTATTGAAGGCGGCCTTGAGGGTTTGAAACGCCAACACCCGGGTTTGATTCCCCTCAAGCGCGAACCTTCAACCATTTCTTTTAATATGTAAAACGTATAGAATACGTTTTACACCTAATTAATTGTAAAAAAAAAACCCTCTTCTTCTCCACTTAAGCGAACACACAGCAAAGAAAGAGAGTAGAGAGAGAGCAGAGAAGAGAGAGCGAGCTCCGGCAAAAAAAATCCTAGCCCTTGCGAGACGAGTGTTTGGACTTTCTAGGGTTTGGCCCCTATGTCCAGGTAAAATTTTTCCTACAATTTTTTTTTTGTTTATGTATAATCCATTGTTTCGTTTTTAATATATATAAACCACACTCCGGCTGCAGACGACCAAGCGGCCGATCCCAAAACTTGGGGCATTATAGGCTAGTATTTGAAGAACCCGAGGTTAGAAGAGGAATGCAGCAGAGAGCTGCAAGATGGAGAACACATCACAGTCTACGAACAGAGGGCGATGGTCCTTATCCTCTGGTGCATTTGATCCTTCTTCTTCCCCGACCAGAGGGCCAATGGAGTCAACCTGTACTGGTTGCAGCATTTGCACGATATCGATGGGATAAAGGGGTACAACTGGGGTTCGGCGCTCGTGGCCGGAGTGTATAGAGCGCTGTGCACAACCTACCAGGCCGGGGAACAATGGATCAAGAGCTGTGTCCAATTGTTTCAGGTACATTTATTTACTTGTTATTTGAAATTTATTTTTTTTTATTCTAATTTAGACTAATATCTAATAACAAATGCATATTTCGATATGTGTAGGTTTGGGCATGGGAACGTATCCCTCGTCTTCACCCAAAAATGAGGGATAACAACTTTGAGAGAGTCCCTAGTTGTCCCTTAGGTGGAAGGTAATCACATTTATTTATATTTAATACTTAGATTATTTCCATTATCAAATTTTGTGATTACAAAGTGTTTTTTTATGTGATTTTTAAGATGGGTGGGACGGACGGACACGAAACACATATGCAAGGGAACAGCCGCTGTCCGGGATCAATTGACAAGGCTGAGAGAGACGGATGTAAGATTATTATTAAGTCCTATTGATATTATTTATATTTGTTTTTTGTTTTTAATTTTTTTCATAACTTAATTCCTATTTTTTTTTTCTTACAGTTCGATTGGGTGTCGTATGACCAGCACCTGGATGCTAATACTCTCCCGGCCCAGTGTACAGAAGGTTCACGCCTCTGGATGTATAGGGGGTGGATCTTCTGTCGGAACATCTGTGAACCACACTTGTCTGATAGGATCCTCCGCCAGTTTGGGTGTTATCAGTCCATCCCCAACACTCCGATCATTACGAGTGAGGTCGAATGGGAGACACACCATTGAGGCCAGGAAATGACTGAGAGGGCATTTACTGATTGGTTCAACTTTCATTCGGAGCTTGGGAAGGCTTGGGTCGAAGAAAGAGACCAAAATGTCCTCCCAGATTACCCTGTGGAGGAATTCATACAGCCTGAGGCGGGTTACATTGATTGGTTTCACAGTAGGACTGTGAGACTCATCAGTGACCCTGCCAAGTACCCGGTGGTCCAACAGGACGGCGGCTATCAGCCACTTGCCGAGCGGGAGAAGTGTGGTGTAAGTGTTCATAATTTGTGATGATTTATTATTATAGTAATTACTTTGAATTTATTTTCAGGCTCAAGCCATGGAGGGGGCTTATAACTTGTTAGCAAGTCTTGAACACAAATTTTATACACTCCCTCCAGAGGCACATGCCCCAATCCGACAGTCCCAGAACCTTCTCTACACTTCTCTGACTGTTGGAGGCCAAGAGGTCACACAAGTTACGGCGTCCAGTCAAGTGCTATCTCAGGAGAGCTACGTCCGATCAGAGGACGCAGTCACACCGGGCGAGACATCAACCCGCTGCCCACATTGGTGGAGGTAGAAGACGCCGTCACCGCGAACCCGCTGCCAACACCGGGCCTGAGGAAGGAGAAGAAGGTGAACATTTTTTACTTAACAAAAAAATAATTTTTTATTTATTTATTTATTTTTGGTCCAGTCGAATTTGTGATTTTTTTTAAAAAAATGAATTTCTCAGATGAAGAAGAAGAAGAAGCTGTCACGCCTATCACGACCACAGCCTCGTCTTCTTCACGACCACCACAGCGTCGGATGGGCTCCCGAAAGCGCATACCTAGGAATCCACACACTCCTAATTAGTTTGTGTTGTATTCCAGAATTTTTTGGAACATATTTGTTTTTATTATTGAATTATGTGTATTGATATTTTGACATATTTGTATTTGAATAAATGATTGTGGTTGACTTTTTGTGTATATAGTCTGTGTACGTTAGATTATTATAAAACGAATGGATTGATATTAGTTTGTCGAACATGTATACTTGGTTGTGGAATCGATCCCGATTAACAGGTATGTTTTTTAATTTTTTCTGCACAGTTACTGTTTCTACACAGTAAAATGTATTCCGAAAATACGTTTTTATATATTTTTTTTTTTGTAAAAGTATTCTGAAAATACGGGTTAGGGCAAACATAAAATTAGGCAAATATAAAATGTATTTCGAAAATACATTTTATGGAAAATTGGTTTTAGGGCAAATGTAAAACGTATTTCGAAAATACGTTTTTTTTATAAAATTATTTTCTGCATTAAGAAATTACAAATTTAATTTTATTTGTAAAACGTATTTTGAAAATACGTTGTACATTTATTTTCTGCAATAAATAATATATAAAATTAATTTTATTAATAAAACGTATTTCAGAAATACAGTTTTAATACGTTTTATATGTAAAATTATTAAAACTGTATTTATGAAGTACGTTTTAAGTTTATTTATTTAAGTTAATCACATAATTAATTTAATTGACTTTAAAATGTATTTCGAAAATACGTTTTACCTTCATTATTTCAATAATATGTTTTACCTATTAAAACATACTAGTACAATACCCGTGTATTACACGGGTGTTGAATTAGAAAGCTTTTGTAAAAATATTATTTTTTTGTAAAACTAAAATAATTTAATTTTATATAAAATATTACTTTGGGTTTTAATTAAATTGTCAAATTATATTTTTTTAATCATAATTAAACACCCGTACATTAAATGAAAATGTCAACCCGTGTTGAATTTTTTTACTTATATCATATAAAAGTATCGATATTATTTACTATTACATAAGTACAAAAATATATAACTTAAATCAATAGAAATAATATGGTGATATGTATATGCATAAGTGTAAAATATGTTTATTTAATATTAAACAAATAGATCAATTTTTTTTTACTTAATTAGATGCCTAATACATCAAGTGTCGTATCAGACGTGCTTCACAGTTTTTTAACTGTATATGAAATTTTAGAATTTATATAAATAATTATTTATTGTTATTACATTGACAACATAACAATTAAATTTGAAATAAATATAATTTTTAAAATAATACATACCACTTTCTATTACTTTATAATATAATTTATAGTTTTATTTGATATAATTTATTTTAGTTTGATAAATAAATTTAAATTTTATTTATAAGGATATATATTATTATTTTGTATTATATATATATAAATAGTAAAATACAAACGAACTTCATAATATCAATTCAAATGCAACACACTAATTAAGATTTTTTTCTTGACAATATTAACTCTATTTAATGGATGTTATGAGAAACGATGAATATGGGATATGAAGAGACACTATAAATATGAACAAAATATCTAAAACGACATTTATTTTATCAATGATAAGTCAAAGTGACAAATAAAAAAAAATAGGAGGGAGTATATATTATTATATATTTTAGCACATGTTACTTATGCGACTTATATGTGTTATATTTTAAATTTTCTACCTTATCACATATAACTAAATTAAACATAAATATATTAATTGATAATAATTTTATTTTCTAATTAATTTTAATAAATATTTTTGTTTATTATTATAAAGATAAATATAATTTATTTAATTATTTTATATATACAATATGGATGTCAAATCGAAACTCATCAAAAGATGATTAATTTGATATATTATTTAAATAAATAAATCAATAATTTGGGACCAACAAATATCAACGCCAAGCAAAAAGACCTAACTGAACTATAACCAGGGCCTCGTAAAAATTGAAAGAGGGGAAAAACAAAGAAAACAGAAAATGGTAGTGATGAAGTTTGTTGGAATGGATTTTAGCTGTATTCTAGGTTCTCTACGCAGTAGTGAAATCCCAGAAAAAGATTGCTTACTTCCCTTAATATCAAAGCTTTTGGGTTACTGCATCGTAGCTGCGTCCACCATAGTCAAACTTCCGCAGGTAAATAGTCTTTGTAAGTTTCTATCTTATCAAGATCCGATTCTATTATTTGTCGTTTCTTTTTCCTAAATTCATTCCGATTCATTTTTTTTTTATTTGTTTGGTATCTATCGACCGCTTTTAATTCCGACATGTTCTTGAGGTGTGATGGAAAGGAAGAAGAAAGATCTTGATGCACGATCATGTTGAGTGAATTGAGTTCATGGATTCAATTTTTTCTTTCGTGTTCACTCCTTATACTGGGTAACTTTGTTAAGAGGCGGTTTGGGTGTTGAAGTAGATAGTTGACCGTGTCATGTTCTTATCGGCCATGGCGCCATAAGTTGAGTTCTGGTTGGGAAAACATTAACGTTATGTTTTTCATGGACTTGAGGTTTGGCATAGAATGTAAATCTTGCCTGTTCACATGGAGTGAGCTTCAGCCATCATATGTTTAACAAATTTCCGTGCTTTCATTTTTAAATGTGTAATGGTTAGCCTGCCTAACAATATCATTTGTATGTGATATCTGCGCTATGGTAGATGGATTTGGCCATGGTTTACAGTTTCTATGCACATGGTTAAGAAACATGAAACCTTTCGTGTTTGGGCGCTCGAGCGCCTAGGCTATGCATAGCCTGATTTCTAGAACACTACTGATTAAGGCACATCAGTATTATCTTGATTTTAGAAAGATTAATGATTATCTTGATAGATGACACGAAATCTATTTACGTGCTTACTTCCTCGATTTCTTATTACTTTTGGTGGTTGTAATGGTTTAATATAAAATAGGGTGGCCACTAGTAGTTTGAGGGAGTAGTTTCATTGTAAATGGCTTCGTTACACTTACAGGAAGAATTAATATCTGCTGGGAAGTATTATGGCTTCTGAAAATTTGTTTCTTGTTAGTCAGCAAACGTCCATTTTTTTATGATCAAGCTTTCCCTCTGCTTCTTTTCTTCTCTAGCTTAAAATAACAATGAGATGTTGGACGTCCACATGCCTTTGTGTTTTGACCTGTGTTTGTTGTAGGCTTTATAGTTTTCTGTATGTAATTAAAGATTGTTTTCAGAAACCCTTGGTCGTCTGTTATAATGCCCAAGTATGTTATTAGATATGGGTTGGTCCAATATTATTTCTTCATGTTTGTCTTCAGTTATAGGTTTTGTAATTGCAGAATTTCAATAATATCACAGAGATGCTTATTTCTTCATGTTTGTCTTCAGTTATAGGTTTTGAAATTGCAGAATTTCAATAATATCACAGAGATGCTTTGCAGCCTACAAGTTAACTTAAAACCATTATCTTACTCTACATATCAGAGCTCCTGCACATATATTAACAGTAATCTGGGGGAAACAAGTATAATTTGCGGCAACAAATAGCTAAAAACCAAGCAAAAAGACCTAACTGAACTATAACCAGGGACTCATAAAAATTGAAAGAGGGAAAAAACAAAGAAAACAGAAAATGGTAGAGATTAAGTAAGTTGGAATGGATTTTAGCTGTGTTCTAGGTTCTCTACGCAGTAGTAAAATCCCAGAAAAAGATTGCTTACTTTCCTTAATATCAAATCTTTTGGGTTACTGCACCGTAGCTGCGTCCACCATAGTCAAACTTCCGCAGGTAAATAGTCTTTGTACGTTTCTATCTTATCAAGATCCGATTCTATTATTTGCCGTTTGTTTTTCCTAAATTCATTTCGATTCGTTGTTTT